TTGGACATGCCAGGAGGCAGTAACAATGAGAGGCGATTGCTAAGGAAGGCAGTGGAGGCGACGCCCAAAGTCAGAAGAAAACAAGAGGAGCGAGTGATTAAACAGAATACAGAACCTTACATTCCAAACCAGTGGTCTGCAGTCTACATGTTAGCTGATGGGAAATGGATATACTCACTGGAACACAGTGAATTTAGTTGTGTGTTTTTTAAAAAAAAAAACAACAACAACCCCACATCTGTATGATCAACAGGTACATGAAAGGTATCAACAGCTGAAACCAGTTTGGCTCAATGGATAGAGTGTCGGACTGCAGACTGAAAGGTCCCGGGTTCGAATCCGGTCAAGGGCATGTAGCTTGGTTGCAGGCACATCCCCAGTAGGGGGTGTGCAAGAGGCAGCTGATCGATGATTCTCTCTCATCGATGTTTCTAACTCTCTATCCCTCTCTCTTCCTCTCTGTAAAAAATAAATTAAAAATATATTTTAAAAATGATCATTTCTTTAAAAAAAAAAAAAAAAGAAAAAGAAAGAAAGAAAGAAAAGAAAAGGCATCAACATTACTAATCATCCTGGGGCTAAGCAGGAGGAACAAGAGGGAGGGAGCAATGGGTGAGGGGAGGGAGGGGGACATCTGTAATACTCTCAACAATAAAAACAAATTTTAAAAAATTATCAGGGGCCTTAGCTGGTTTGGCTCAGTGAATAGAGTGTCAGTCTGCGGACTGAAAGGTCCCAGGTTCAATTCCAGTCAAGGGCTTGTATCTTGGTTGCAGGCACATCCCCAGTGGGGGGGTGTGCAAGAGGCAGCTGATTGATGTTTCTTTCTTGTTGATGTTTCTAGCTCTCTATCCCTCTCCCTTCCTCTCTGTAAAAAATTAATTATATATATATATATATATATATATATATATATATATATATATATATAAATTATCAGGAAAATGCAAATAAAAAACACAATAAGATATGACCTCACACCTGTTAGGACGGCTACCATCAAGAAGACAGAAAAAAAAAATACAAGAAATATCGTATCTGCAAAGATGTAGATAAAATGGAGCACTTGCACACTGTTGGCGGGAATATAAATTGGTTCAGCCACTATGGAAAACAATTTTTAAAAATAAAAAAGACCTGCCGGGACCAGTTTGGCTCAATGGATAGAGCGTCGGCTTGGGGACTGAAGGGTCCCGGGTTCGATTCCGGTCAAGGGCATGTACCTTGGTTGCGGGCATATCCCCAGTGGGGGGTGTGCAAGAGGCAGCTGATTGATGACTCTCTCTCATCAATGTTTCTAACTCTCTATCTCTCTCCCTTCCTCTCTGTACAAAATCAATAAAATATATTTTTAATAAATAAATAAATAAATAAATAAGGCCTGCATGGTTAATGATTAGAGCTGATGCACACCTGGCCTTGGAGGTTCAATTCCTGGCCCTGTCAGGGTGCATCCTGAAGGCAACTAATTGATGTGTCTCTCTCACATTGATGCTTCTCTCTCTTCCTCTCTCCCTCCCCTCCTTCCTTCTACTCTCTTTAAAAATCAATGGAAAAAATATCCTCTGATGAGTGTTAACAAAAACAAAAATTAAAAAAAGAACTATCATGTGATCCAGCAATCTCACTTCTAAGTATGCAGCCAAACCTCATTTCTCAACCGTCTCCCACTTCAAGCAATTCGGTTCTCAACCAAGTTGTTCACCAAACAAATGGCTCGGTCTTTGGCCAATACGTCTGCTCTGGTCATGAGCATGACAAAACGTGTATCTCAGGCCACAGACACAGGACAGGTTGGGAGTTAGTTTACGGCCAAACCTCTCAGGGGGTTGTGCTATGAATGCTTTTGTGGTTTCTATTTTACTTTACTTTTTGCTTTTGTTGCTGGTGAAATGGAGGCCATCAAGAATGCTAATATTGCTAAGGTGTGGAAGAAACACTGACCACAGGCCATTGCGGAGGTAGGAGAACTGTTGCTGATTTGGATAAAGGAGAAGCAGCTCGCTTCTGAAAATGACACATGAAAAGGGAAGGTGCTGCAGCATCCTGAGAGACAGCCCGGCCGCTGCTGGCAGTGCTGGGCGGGTGGTTCGATGATTTCAGAAAAGAGGTGTTTGCTCAGAGATTAAACAGTACATTGTATGTGAACTGTATATAAAAAAGGTTAGAACAGGGGATCATTTGGGGGACTGGAATGAATTAATTCAATTTACATTTTTTCTAATGGAAAAAATGATTTGGTTTTTAAAAATCTCTTCTTGAACAGCCTTCCAGAATGAATTAAGTTTGAGAACCAAGGTTCCATTGTTTATAAAACAAAAACAAAACAAAACAAAAAACAGGAACTCAAAGAGATATGTGCACTCACGTGGTCATTACATTAGTCACAGCCTAAGTGTCTCTCACAGGTGAGCAGATTAAGATGTGGCACATCTCTATCTCTACCTCATCCATATCGACATAGCCCAGGGGTGGGGCACTTCTTCCTGCTAACGGCCATTTGGATTTTTATAACATCATTCGAGGGCCACACAAAATTACCAACTTAAACATTGGCCTGCTCTCTTTGGCCAAACATTTAATAAACACGCCCTAACGCCTTGGCAGAACAGACCAAACGTTCTCTCAGCCTCACAGGGCCCGCGGGCTGAAGTCCCACACCCCTGACAAATGGAATATTTCTCAGCCAAGAGGAAAGAAGGGAATCCTGCCACTTGTGACAACGTGAATGGATCTTGAGAAAATTATGCAAAGTGAGAGAAGTCCGACACAGAGACACAGTATGCTCTCACTTAGATTTGAAATTTAAAGGCAGTGAACTTGTAGAAGCAGAGAGAGAATGATGGTTAAGAGAGGCTGAGCAAGGGGGAAATGGGGAGATATTAAAGGTACAAAGTTGCAGCTCAAAGATAAGTCTGGAGGTCTCAGGTACGTGTAGTGATCATAGACAACAGTACTGTATCATAAACTTCAAAGCTTCTAAGAGACTAAAACTTATTGTTTGCACCATGAAAAAATTATAATTATGTGATGTGATAGAGGTGTTTGCTAATACCATGGTGATAGCCATATTGCAATATACAAATGTATCAAATTAACACACTGTATACCTTAAACTAGAGGCCCAGTGCATGAAATTCTTGCACAGGTAGGGTCCCTAAGCCTGGTCAGAGATCAGAGCCAATCTGTAGGGCGACTGGAGCCCACCTTGGCCTGCCTGGCACCATCCCCTTGTTGGCCCTGCCTCCCCTCAACCCCCCCCTCCCCCGCCACCGCCATCACCAGTCACCTCCCTATGTGGGGCAACCAGCTTGGTGATCAGGGGACACCTCCCCATCCCCCGCTGGCACCTGCCTTGGCTGGCCTAGGGCCTGCAGGCTGATGGCAGTTCCTGCATTGAGCATCTTCCCCCTGGTGGTCAGTGTGCATCATAGCAAGCCATCATTCTGCCATTCCATCAATTTGTATATTGGGCTTTTATTATATAGAACTAGAGGCTTGTTGCATGATATTCGTGCAAGAATAGGCCTTTCTTTCCCTGGATCCACTCCCAGCCACCTGGGACCTGGCAAGTTCATGCTCCCCGGCCACCCGGGAGCTGGCACCTCCCTAGGCTACCCGGAGCTGACAATTCCTCACTTCTGTCTGGGGCATCACTCCAGTAGCTCCTTCCACCACCCTCCTTCCCCTCATAGCAGGCTTCACTTAGCTCCACGCTTACATATGCAAATTAACCTCCATCTTTGTTGAGTTAATTTGCATACTCACTCTGATTGGCTGTGGGCATAGCGGAATGATGGTTAATTTGCATGTTTCTCCTTTATTAGGTAAGATTATATGTCAATTTTTTAAAATAGTCTTTTAAAATAATATAACTAGACTCTTAGAAGGATTAGAAACAGTGGATGGGGAGTCAGGTTCTGTGAAGACAATTCTTTAAGGTTAAGAAAGATGTAAAAAGAATAATGCCTGTTATCCATATCTGTTCTACTTCAAAAGCATTTGTAAATGAGGTAAAAGTCATCAATAAAGGGCACGACTTAAGCCCAGCCAATGTGGCTCTGTGGTTGAGCATCAATCTTTGAACCAGGAGGTCATGGTTCCATTCCCATTCAGGCCTCAAGCCTGGGTTGCAGCTCCATTTCCCCTGGGGGCATGTAGGAGGCAGTCAATCAATGATTCTCTCTCATCATTGATGTTGCTATCTCTCTCTCTCTCTCTCTATCCCTTCCTCTCTGAAATCAATAATATATGTATTAAAAGGCACTATTTATATCAAAAGCACTTGTGTGCATTATTTATTGTGCATCCATAATTCCAACAACCAGACTGCTTATTCTAATGCTGACTCCTTAATGCTGATGTATGGGAAGATAATCTCTACACCCAAATAAGAAAACAGATGTTGCCGAAACCGGTTTGGCTCAATGGATAAAGCGTCGGCTTGGGGACTGAAGGGTCCTGGGTTCAAGGGCATGCACCTTGGTTGCGGGCATATCCCCAGTAGGGGGTGTGCAAGAGGCAGCTGATCGAGGACTCTCTCATCGATGTTTCCATCTTTCTATCTCTCTCCCTCTCTGTACAAAATCAAAATATATTAAAAACAAAAACAAAAAACAAAAAAAAACAGATGTGTAGGAAGGTTCAAGTGACCATAGCCTAGGTTTGCTAAATAGAATATAGGATACACAGTTAAATTTGAACTTCAGATAAACAATGATTTTTTAAAATTTTTTTTTTAGTGTAAGTATGATCCATACAATAATGCTCCAAATAGTGCATGGGGCATGCTTATACAAAAATATATCTATTTATCAGAAATTCAAATCTGCTTTGGCACCTTGTATTTTTATTTTCTAAATCTGGCAACTGGCGACTGTGGTTCCAAGTAAGGCAAGAGGAGTGGGGGTGGGGGTCGCCGAGTGCTCTCAGAGGATGCAGTCTCACCTCCCAGTGTGAGAGCCCGCCTCCCCCTGTGCTCCTCCTCCCAAAGGACTCACCTGCGTTCTCTCCGGAGACAATTCCCCATCCTCTCAGAGTGACTGTCTCTCAGCTCCTGAGTTTCACTCCACTTTGGTTAGTCTTGACCAAAGCAACAAGGGGTGCAACACGGGGCAGGATGTGACTTCTGACCACTTGTGCTCCCACCCACCACCGCAGCCAGGGGAGGAACCGTTCTGAAGGGGAGGGGAGAAGAAAGGCATGCTTTTTCCATTGTGTGAGTGTGTGTGTGTGTGTGTGTGTGTGTGTGTGTATGTGAGTGTATGAGTGTGTGACTGTGTGACTGTGTGTATGACTGTGTGTGTATGTCTGAGTGTGAGTGTGTGTGTATGTGTGTGTGTATGAGTGTGTGTGTGTGTGTGAGTGTTTGTGTGTGTGAGTGTGTGTGTATGAGTGTATGAGTGTGTTTGTGTGTATGAGTGAGTGTGTGTGTGTGTGTGAGTGTGTGAGTATGTGTGAGTGTGTGTGTGTGTCTGTGTGTGTGTGGTATGTGTGTTTGTGTGCGTGTGTGTGAGTGTGTGTGTTTGTGTGCGTGTGTGTGAGTGTGTGTGTATGAGTGTGAGTGTGTGTATGTCTGAGTGTGAGTGTGTGTGTGTATGTGTGTGTGTGTGTATGAGTGTTTGTGTGTGTGAGTGTATGAGTATGTGTGAGTGTGTGTGTGCGTATGTGTGTGAGTATATGTGCGTGTGTGTGTGTGTGAGTGTGTGTATGTCTGAGTGTGTGTGTATGTGTGAGTGTGTGAGTGTATGAGTGTTTGTGTGTGTGAGTGTGTGAGTGTGTGTGTGTGAGTGTGTGTGTGTGTGTGTGTGAGAAAACATTAGACTGAACCATGGGAGACTAAGTCTAACATGCTAGAGTCACTTGGCTTTCAAGGCCATTCCAGGATCACAGGATCATATCAGGTAGGGACTTTCCTATTCCCAAGAAATCTGATGTCAAGACTCCCAATATTTTATTCTCTTCCAAACACTCAAAAAGAAAGCCTTTTAGCCCTGGCTGGTGTGGCTCAGTGGATAGATTGTCAGCCTGCGGACTCAAGGGTCCCAGGTTTGATTCCGGTCAAGGACATGTACCTTGGTTGCAGGCACATCCCCAGTGTGGGGTGTGCAGGAGGCAGCTGACTGATGTTTTTCTCTCATCGATGCTTCTGGTTCTCCCTTCCTCTCTGTAAAAAAATCAATACATTTTTTTTTTTTAAAGAAGAAAGCCTTTTATAAGAAAACTAAAAGCAAAAGGAGAATCCAGCCATAAAAACCCAATCATATGTAACACCTTTCCTCAGAGGCCTGACACTTCGAGAGACAAGACTACATGGAAGAGTGTGGCAATGGAAGGGTCTTGATGTGGTTCAAGGTAGCCACAGAGCAATTGTTCTTCCTGTTTTTCCAAAGTTAAAGTCACAAGGGGAAGAACAGGGCCTGACAGATTCATCTGCTCATCTAGTCCGCACTTCCTGCCCCGCCCAGCAGAGCCACGGAGCACAGGCTGGCTGTAGAGATAAGCAGGCGACTCGCTGGCTGCTGACTCTGAGCTGCTGCTGGCCAGGTGGTGAAATATCTCACTCATGATGGCTTCCACCCAGCGGCGTGCAGAACAGGTGCCTGATTTCCTTCAGTTTCCATCCAACACAAAATTGACTTGCTGAACTCAGAAACGATATGTCATGTACTCCAATATTTTTTAATCCTCACCTGAGCACATGCTTTTATTGATTTTAGAGAGAAAGGAAAGGAGAGAAAGAGAAACATCGATGAGAGAGAGACAGAGAGAGAGACAGAGAGAGAGAAACCTCAATCAGTTGCCTCCTGTATCATCCTGGCCGGGGAACAAACCCACACCGTTTTGGTGTAGGGGACAATCCTCAAACCACTGACCCACACAGCCAGAGCAGTGCCAATTTTTAAAACTATTTATCAAATAAGGATTCCAAGGTTGATGAAATTTAAGTTACTACTACCCATCATCAAAGTACTTAAATTTTATGTTTTAATCATAAGCTTGAGAAAAATTATATTTGAAGCAAGAGTTTCACACACACTATTCCTGCTTTTGGCTCACCTGATTCACTTTTCAGAACTTTGTCCCAAAGTTCTGCTGCTCAGACTCTCACATCCACACTGATCATTGGAGGGTCCTGTCAAATAACTAGGTCAACATTCTGCCTTTCCAACAAGCTCACTCTGATGCCTCTCCTGCTGGCCCTTGGAGGAGCAAGGAGCTAGACCAGGGAGCCTCTAAGCATGGCCCCGGCCGGCAGCAGGAGGCGCCCGACAGCTGGTTAGAAATGTGCATTCTCAGCCCTTAGTGCACACCTCCTGAATCAGAAACTGCAGGTTTGTTCTCCCTGTTGTCTGAGAACCATGGCAATAAACCATTTATTAATCACAAACTCATCACTCCCCAAGTGCTCGGGTAAGCAGGTGCCTATTAGGTCCCAGTCTCTAAATACCAGAGACATGGTAACACCAAAGATGTCCAGTTCCTTCAGCCTCGTTCCCTCCCCCGCTGCCCATACTGGCGAGAACCAATCCGGAAAAGACTTCCCTTTCACTAGTGAGGGCTCAGCAGTCAGCTTCCTGGAATGGGTCAGGTAAAAGCAAAGTGAAATTTTGGTGAACCGGAATGCTTACAGTGACAGTGCTGTGACTGCTGACTGAACACACAGGGCTGCACCCTGAACCACTTCAGCTGGCATCTCAGGGCTGTGGAAGAGACGCTCCACCAGATGCAGGTCATTTCTCTCCCCTACAGGGGTGCCCTCTGTTGATGTTCTCTGCTCACTTGCTCATACATCTATTCTTTCTACTTGGTCTCCTGTCTACCAATAAGTTTAGGTTTTACTCATGTGAACTTCTCCTAAAAATGACATACAATGTTTTCTATTTACTCTGATAGAGTATCATCATCTCACAGTGTACTTTCAAAGTCAATAATATGTGGTTTCCTTATTGTTAAGTATGTGTTTGGTACTGAAAATCTAAAAACATGCAAATAAGATAACATAAAAACATTGAACTAATCCAGAATCCTACTACCCAGAAACAATTCTTATGTGTATTTTGATGTATGCTTATAATCTGCTCTGGGAACACACACATGCACCCATTGGGTTTAAAGAATCCAAAAAGGAGAGTACCCTGTGGACATGTCTTTCTACATCATTAAATGGGTTTTCAAAAATCATTTTCTCTTTTTTCCAGCTTTTTTGAAGTACAATTCCTATATAAAACTGAATGTAATTAATGTACACCATTTGATAAGTTTGAACATATGTATATATTCTTGATACTGTTATATTGTAAATCAGCAAGCTACACAGAAGACGCCTTAATCAATAAGCGAAATTAATTTGGAGCCTTTATTACTCTAGAGGTCTCAGAGGAATTGTCTCTCAAAGTCTGACCAAAATAATATGGAGAAAATTTTTCCCTTTTTTACCTTCCTATCTTCTTTTTTTTTTAAATATATTTTTATTGATTTTTCACAGAGAGGAAAAGGGATAGAAAGTTAGAAACATCTCTCATTGATGAGAGAGAAACATCGATCAGCCACCTCCTGCCTGCAACCAAGGTACACACCCTTGACGGGAATCAAACCCGGGACCCCTCAGTTCATAGGCCGAAGCCCTATCCACTGAGCCAAACCGGTTTTGGCCCTTCCTAGCTTCTTTTCTCCCAAATATGGAATGGGGCTTCCGCAGCTTTCGCAGGCTTTGCAAAAAACAAAACAAACAAACAAACAAAAACAACCACCATGTGCTGGGATGGGGCCATGAGACTAGATCTCAAGGCCTGGCCTGGTGCCAGAATTGATAACTCCGTCTGGGGGTTGTATGGTTTACGGCCTTTCCAAAATGGAAGCAGTGCTTAAGTAAACAGGTCTTGCAGGACCAGATAAGTGAGCTCATTTTCCCTATTGTACGAGCAAGCGTGTTTACAGAAGCCAAGAATAGCAAAGTTAATTCACAGAACAAAGGACCTTTTAGTGGAATATTTCAAACAGTAGTTTTTACAACATAGAGGTTACTGGAACAAGATGGACTATGCTTCAATAAAATCACCACAGTAAAGGTAATAATCAGACCCATCACCTTCAACAGGTTTTTTTTGTTGTTGTTGTTTTGTGTTGTTTGTTTATTTGTGTGTGTGTGTGTGTGTGTGTGTGTGTGTGTGTGTAGAACATTTAACATGAGATTTACTCTCTAACAAAATTTTAAGTGAATAATATGGCAAATCAAATGGGGTTATTTTCCAAAACCTTTAAGGCATTCCTGTGATTTAATAACAAAAGCAAAAATAAAACAAATAGCCTAATTTAAAAATGGGCAAAATACTTGAAGAGACATTTCTCCAAAGAATACTTACAAATGGCCAACAGGTCCACGGGATGGTGCTCACCATCACTAATCATTAGGGGAATGCAAACTAAAACCACATCACATATCACCTCTGCTAAACTAAAAACCTTCACTTTGCATGACTGAAGTCTTTCTTATGTAAGGTTTTATTGAGCCCAAGACCCACTGGAGGCATAGAGTCTAAACCCCTATCAGCATGTCTAGGTATAAAAGACAACTTGTTCCTCATCCCAGAGTTTGCTAGCATCTAAAGGGAGTGGGGAGGGGGAGGTAGTCTGAAAGAATTTACAGTAGCTATAAGCAAAGGAGTGGGGGCAGACGAAGGGGGACCACCAGTGCATGAATCCATGCACCGAGCCTTTAGTATGCATATTTGATCTTTGGTTACTCTCTTCCTGCCTTCCTCCTCCCCCCTTCCCTCTGAGATTCATCAGTCTGTTCCATGTTTCCATGCCTGTGCATTGTCTGCCCCCTGGTGGTCAGTGCATGTCATGAATGGTTGGACACAGCATATTAGGCTTTTATATATATAAATTTTCAACATTTTTTTTGGTTACTTCCAGTTTTTCTATTTTAAAAAATCTGCAATTAACCTTCTTATAAATAAGTCTTGACATGGTATTGCCTATAATGTTTAAGATTTCTAATACTAGCTGCAAATATTCCACCAT